CCCTAAAGTGTATGAGTCCTAGATCTCTTTGGATTCACGTAAAGTTTGCCACTTTACATGATGGATGGGTTGTAGGAGGCTAGATCTATGTTTTGGATCAATTGCATGGCCTGGAATGCTTCTGTATGGATTCAGACCGGTCGTACTCGGCGAGTCACATGGGTCGACTCGACGAGTTGCTTGAAGATGAGCTGGAACTCGACGAGTTGGATGAACAACTCGGCGAGTAGGTTGAAGATAGCCTTAGACTCGGCGAGTCTGTTTTTGGACTCGGCGAGTGTTGTCGAAGAGTCCTAATATTTTCTGGTTGAGTCGAGAATCGGTGAGTCAAGGGATGACTCGATGAGTTGGGTGCGAGTGGACTCAGAGTTGTTGGACTCGGCGAGTCTCGGGGTGACTCGGCGAGTTAGGTCGCAGATTGAGGGAAGTTCTGAGCTTGGGGACTCGGCGAGTCATCGGGTTAACTCAGCGAGTAGAGTCAGTCAGGGGTTGACTTTGACCGTTGTCCAGAGTTGACTAGTTTGACTTCGTAGTGTTAGTCAGCCAGGGTCAAGGTGGTATTAAGTAGAGATATGCTTGTGTTTTAGGAGGACGATAGCTCGGGAGATCAAGCGCTAGTGATTCTGAGATACGCGAGGTGAATCTTCTCACTATACGTTACCTTGAGTGGTATTTCGAGTTGACCAGAGGGTCTTATGTGCTATGTATGAGATTATGTGTTATATTAGAGATTTCGTGCTATGTGTTAGCTATATGCGGTATGATTATATAGACCGGGCCGGAGGGTCCAACGATTCAGACCGGGCCAGAGGACCCAATGAGCTATGATTGGACCGGAGGGTCCGACAAGCTGCGTGACTAGAGGGTCCCGCTAAGACATCTTGACTGGAGGGTCGGGTTTAGCCTTGAGTGGCGTATTTGTGATAAGTGGTATTCTGGGGAACTCACTAAGCATTTATGCTTACAGTTGTTGTGTTTGATGTCTCAGGTACCAGCGAGGACCGTGGGAAGGCGACGACTTGACTTGTACACACCCACACCGATGGAGTTCATGCTAGAGAGATCTTGGGATTTGTTTTCAAAACAATGTTGTTATGAATTTGAGATTATGATATGATATACATTTTGTGGTTTAAAAATGAAAAAAATTAAATTGGAAATTTTACGTTGTTACATTTAGGCTATAATCCATTATGGATAATATGGTGGACGATTTTAAGCATTAGGATAAACCTAAAATCCATCTAAGGTTATCATGAAAGGGATTAGGATTGCTTAGGGCTAAAGTTATCCAATTAGGTTTTAAAGGTAAAACCCTAGGAGCCTTACAAGTATAAATAGACCCTTGAGGTCATGGAAATCGGCACTCTTATTTCTAGAGAAACCCTGGCCAATTTCTAAGTCCCTCCCCACTCTCTTAAATCATCCTCTTGCTAGTTGGTGTTTGTAAGCCATTAGAGGAGTGAGAATTGTGACTCTAAAGCTCCAAGAAAAACAAGATCAAACAAGTGATAAGCTTATAACTCTGATTTCTCTTTGTTATTATGCTAGAATAACCATTATAAGTCTTGGATTCATGCATGTTCAATTAGAGAACCCTAGATCCAAGCATTAGGTTTTATATGTGCACATAGGAATGTTCATATGGCAAGAAACCCATCATTCATAACTAAATGAAATGGACTTATTGAACACTTAAGCCGAATTCGAAATGATTCGCGAAGGTGCATAATTTAACAAGGTATTCATGAGATGTCTAACATAAGTATTTGTAGTATATCATGGACGATAAATTAGCATTTTGAGATAAACTTCGGACATGATTTTTGTTTAAGATACTTATAGTTTCATGAGTATTTGAGGTGAATATTCGTTGAGTATTCGTAAGCGCTCATTGAAATTTTCGAGAGTTATGGATTCAAATCGTTTTAGTCTACCAACAACCAAATCCAAGCTTGATTGTGCATCAGTCCAACCATAAATAAACATAGGTGATCATTCTATGTCTAGTTATGGTCCGGCCCACGTATAACCAACTTAGTTAAGGTGTTTGACGTAAAACCTTGCATTGTATTGGCATTCGAGGGTTAGAGTTTATATAACTATATATTTTTGGGTTAAGGAATATATTTAACCTCAGAGAGTAAGCCCTAGGCTATAGTCGCGCTTTTCTAAGAAGTATTAGTTCACTATAGTCAATAGCTCTGATACCAATTTGTCACATGCTCAGCCACCGCCAGAAGCACCGTGGTGCACGACATAAATCAGTGATCATAGTTATTAAACAAACATTGAATACTACAAACATAATCTTCTATTATTACCGATGTAGAAATTACATTGAAAATGATTATTGCAAAATCGTGACCCACGCCTAATAATCCGACGTTTACAATTTTATAATATAATTAATAGAAAGTATTCTGAGCGAACATTTTCGACCTGCTAAATAACCTTAGAATACATGCATATAAATTATGTCAACAAAATTGTTGGTGGGTTCTACAGGTTTTGACACAAAGTATTTTTATAACCAAAAGTGTTTTGTAAAAGTTCTCTGGTGGACCAGCTTTTGTAAATGTGTATCCTTTTATTAAAAGTATAAAGATAAACGGGTTTTAAAAGTGTATTCAGAATCATTAAAAAAATATCGTTTGCTCAAATCCAAATATAACCATTTGTTGAATATATATGTAAATCAAATTTATAACAAATCTTTATAGTTCTCTTGACCAACAAAAATGTTTTTTATGTAAAGATCTTGAATACCAATTTATATAAAAAAAAGTCATATCACTCTTTATGAATACATAAAATATACAAATTTACTCTTGAAACCTTGTACAAGCATTCATATAGTTTATATGTAAAACTCATTAATTTTGCATTTATAAACTTTACGAATTCATGTGGTAGTATTATTTAGGTATTATCTTATTCAATTTGGGAACTGACACATAAGTTATTAATCTTTAATCAGTCATGTCATGATATTAATTAAGTGTTATCAACTTAATTTCTGGTATTGAGACTTATTGTATTGAGTTACAAGCTATCCCACTACATACACTCTCTTTCAACAAGTATAAGTGAACAAAATCTCCGTATACTATCCTATTTCAATCATATACGGTAACAACAGTACACTCAGGGTCTAAAATGAGGTCATAACCGAACTGTGACGAACGCCTCTACGCTAACACTGGAAAGTTGTGTTGAAAGCCCATACCACATACTTGATGACGTGATAAAAACAATTAGTGAAGGAAACGCCAATGCCTAAACTCGACTTGACAGCCGGTGGTTGTAGCTAGCAACCGGTGGTAGGATGTCAACCCATATAAGTATGTGATCCTAAACTTATACTTGATGTTCCTCGTTCCATATGAATTAACGGTTATGTCACATAGGACTTTCCGCTAAGGTGTACGGTCTTAGCATTGCTACAAACATAGACCATTCAGCTTAGGAAATAATCCTAACTCGTAAAGCTTTTAGAAACGAACGTAGTTCACTTAGAATACCCTGTGGGTAGGATGAGTTCTAACAATATGACTATGCATCCTAATCCAAAACTTCCCGTTATAAGGTTTTTGAATACTTATAATTTTGTTTTTTAGGAATAATATTTCATCAAAATCTTTTAGTTTATGAGGTTCGTAACAATAAACATCTTCACAATTTTTATTGTTCGACGTGACGAAATTTGGATAGCATAACAATTGTTTTGATAATATCTTCAACGTTTCAACCAATACGAAACCAACAAGTACCATAGATTTGAAATTTACGTGATTAAAACAATATAATGTTGCAAATAACGACTCTTAAGTTCTGAAGTCAATCATGTTATTTATCGCAATAAAACCCATAACTTAGTAGAATGAGTTATATTTTTATATTTAATATAAAAGATGTTAATACTTTTTACATTCATTTTTACATAACTTTTATATATATATATATATATATATATATATATATATATATATATATATATATATATATATATATATATAAAGTTAGTTTTCAACAATGTAAACTATAAACTATATATTTTCATAGTCTTGATTTTTCCATCAAATAAGACAGCGTAATTTTCCGTCTACGCGATAATAATGTGGAATACTATTTTTGATTACATAATATCATAATTCACATATTAATATGGTTTTTGAATATAAAAATATATTAATAATTTTTACATTCATTTTTACATAACTTATATATATATATATATATATATATATATATATATATATATATATATATATATATATATATATATATATATATATATATATATATTAAAAGTTAGTTTTCGACAATTTAAACTATTAACTATATATTTTCATAGTCTTGATTTTTGCATCAAATATGATAGTGTAATTTTCCTTCTACACGATAATTATGTGGAATAATATTTTTGATTACATATATCATAATAAATATATTAATTATCACGACAAATCATAAACTTATTATCTTTTAGCAATCTACTTTAACTTGTATAGTTTATTAATGATTTATAGCATTTTTGATTGCTAATGAATATGTTTTTGACCTATAATAAAGTATGATGCTATTTTGCGTATAAAACATGAAAACCATCAAAAAATTAGTAGACACACATGTATTCTCTTACAAATATTAAAACAGTACAAGAGGGGCCATAGAAACTCACTTTCGTAACGTGAACGAGGCTCGTGGTGTGAAACTTCTCGTGAAAGTTCTTACATGACGTTCAGTTCTCTTAAAACGAACCAGCAAGTATATTTATATTTCCTAATAAAGCAAATGGTAGTTTTAGTATTAACTATTAAGTATGTAGTGGTCTTTGTTAAAATAAATAGACTCTAGGGTTTTATTTTGCCAAAAAGTTATACTTCAGGGACTGATATTGTGAATTATTCTCAAGACAGGGGTTAAACATGTGCTTTTGAATCTGATTTGGAGCACCAGGACTTATTTTGTTACCCTTGACTTTTGACTGTGTCAAAATGGAAACCCGATTTCTGGTTGAAGTCCTGATACAGTCGATCAAAAAGGCTCCAACAATACAAAGAGGCGTCGTGTTCAAAGGGACGATGGAGAAGGAACGGGAACGGAAGCAATGGACGAATACAGTGAGAGGGGAAGACACGAAGTCTCGCAGGCACGACTTCGTTGCTCGTCCGCGAGAAGGTTAATCTCCGGGGTTCAACTAGACTGCAGAACGAAGGGAGAAGCAGCGGATGCGCTCTTCTCGGTCGTCTGCTAGGTGCGAAGGAGACGAATCGATTGGCGATGTGTGCGATTGTCTCTGGGGTTTGAATGGAGGATCAGTAACTTGGAAAAGCTCCAAGCAGGAAACCGTAGCTGATTCAACGTGCGAATCAGAGTACATTGCAGCGAGCGAAGCGTCGAAGGAGACAATATGGTTGATGAACTTCATCGGTGACCTTGGAGTTGTACCTGTCATAAAGGAGCCCATGGAGATTTTCTGTGATAATGAAGGAGCGGTTTCCTTGACCAAGGAACCAAGGGATCATGGTAGATCTCGAAATATCGACAGAAAATATCATTTTATAAGACATCGTGTAGAAGAAGGACAACTCGTGGTGAATAGGATATCATCAGAAGATCACCCAGCAGATCCGCTTACGAAGGGACTGAGTAGGGTTAAGGACTTGCAGCATGCTAGGAGCATTGGGCTGAAGGATGATATTAGTATAGATTAGATAGTGTTTGAAACATATAATAAATAAATGTAATTAACATTTGATGATTAAATAAAGGAGTATTATTTATGAGTAATGTTACTATCTTATGTTAATTGTTTAACTATTGTTTCATTTTGCATGTTTTGACTTCCAGAATAATTGAGTTTATTAAGAATAATCGAATTATTCAAATTGTCCACAATCGTTCATATGTTGGAAGTAGGTATGAATGAAGATTGTCATGAATTGGTGTGTAGATTGTCTAAATGGTATTAGACATAGCAAAAGCTTGCTGCAATGTTCATGAGTGCTTATGATCTAGTTTTGAGCATTGGAACAAACCCGCGCTTGCTGGAATCACCTTATAGAATGTGATATAAAAGGTGATCGCAAGATGATAATATCATATAGTCTTAAAACCTACATATATGGTTTGTTATTTGTTAATTGACTGTACATTGATAATGCGAAAATGCATCAGTAACTCGGTGTTATAAAACGCATTGTTATGTATAGTTAATTAATGAATAAGTAGATGCATATAAGTCGAAGTTTATCTGTAACTTTTATCCTAAGAGGGTAAAAGCGATATCTCGGCCGCTCGATGATTTGATTTGACTTATGTGCCGGGCCCGGTCAGAACTAAATTGATGTGTTCGATTAAGTTCTATGTCAAATAAATCGGAGATCGTGAAACCAAATGCTAGACTAATTATTCCATAGAATTGTCAGCATGATATCTAACAGAGGACTGTACGATCCCTTATCTAAAGGACAAGATTGATTAGATCAGAGTTTAATAGCGTCTTTGAGAGCTACGATTGCAAACCGGATTGTACTTGTGCATATAGTTACTAGACTTATCCAAGTGGGAGACTGTTGGAATAGTGTCTAAGGTTGCAACTATATTAGCCAAGTACTTGACCCGGTTGTGCATGGTCCTTTTGGGTTGCCTTCACCAAAGCAACTTGACTGGAGAAATAAATAGAGAAAGAGGTTGTTATGACTTATTAATATGTTATAAGAATAATATATTAAAGGAAAAATCATATTTTTTTTAATTAATATTGGTCAATAATTAATTAGGAATTAATTTTGTGATCAAGTGTAATTAATTAAACTAGAGGGGCTGAATTGTAATTATGTGATAGTTGCAAAATAGGGCAATGGTTATCCTTGTTAAAAGATGGACGGATTCAAGGATAAGGATATCCTTAAAATCGTCCAAGGTCCAAGAGATAAGGGTTTTCAAGGCTTATCTTGTGGTTGCTTGGTGGGCAAGTAACTGGATAAGGATAAGGACTGAAACCCTAATCTAAACCCTATATAAAGACCCCTAGGCCTTGGGAATTCGTATACATGATTCTAAGAAGTCCCAAGGATGATTTCCACCTCCTCTCTTCTATCTCTATAGCCTCTCCAATTGCTTGTGTTGTTTGTGAGCCATTAGAGGCACTACACTTGTGGTGCTTGCTTTCAAGACTTAGGGTTTGAAGATTTAAGTTGTTATTGCAATATAAAAACAAGAGGTATGTAATCTGACCTTGTATATTAATTTCGAAAAATAGCATTGTTCTTTAGGGTTTTATTCTTGTGTTCATAATGTTGTATATCTAATAGCAAAACATAGATCCAAATTAGGGTTGCATGCACACATAGGATTGTTTGTATAAAACCCATCAGAAACCTTGTACAAGCATTCATATAATTTATATGTAAAACTCATTAGTTTTGAATTTAAAAACTTTACGAATTCGGGTCGTACTATTATTTAAGTGTCATCTTACTTAATTTGGGAGCCGAGACTTAACCAGTAAGGCATACTCCTCCCACATACATATCGTGTTTTCGTACAAGAACAAGGGTTCAAATAAATAACTTATTGAGTAAATTACACGAATGGTCCCTATGGTTTAGGGTAATTTGCGCATTTGGTCCCTAACTTATTTTTTTAACTCGGAAGGCCCCTACTGTTTGTTTTTGTTACGCGGTTGGTCCCTATCTTACCTAAAAAGACTATTATACCCTTGATTTTTTTAATTTATCTAAATAAACACACCCCTAATCCTACCCCTCACCTTACATCACCTACCCCATCATTTTTTCCTCTTTAAATAATAGTCTTTTTAGATAAGACAGGGACCAAACGCGTAACAAAAATAAACATTAGGGACCAAACGTGTAACAAAAACAAACCATAGGGACCTTCCGAGTTAAAAAAATAAGTTAGGGACTAAGCATGCAAATTACCTCAAACCATAGGGACCATTCGTGTAATTTACTCTAACTTATTAATTGTAAGTTATTAATCTTTAATCAGTTGTGTCATGATATTAATTAAGTGTTATTAACTTAATTTTTGGTATTGACACTTATCGAAGTGAGTCACATGCCCTACTACCTATAGTCTCTTTCAACTAGAATAAGAGGACAAAACCTCCGTATGCTATCCTATTTCAATCCTATACGGTAACAGTAGTACATTTGGGGTCATAAATAAGGTCATAACCGAACTTTGACGAATACCTCTGCACCAACACTGGAAAGTTGTGCTGAAAGCCCATACCATGTATTTGATGACGTGATAAAAAAAATTAGTGAAGGCAACGCCAACATCCAAACTCGACTCATCGACCGATGGTTGTAGCTAGCACCTGGTGGTAGGATGTTAACCCATATAAGTATGTGATCCTCAACTTATACTCGAAGTTCCAATTTCCATACGAATTAACGGTTATGACACAAATGACTTTCCGCTAAGATGTACGGTTTTAGAATTGTTACAAACGTAGCCCATGCAACTTAGGAAAAGATCCTAACTCATAAAGCTTTTATAAACGGACGTAATTCACTTAGAATACCCTGTGGGTAGGATGAATTCTAACAATATGTCTAGGCATCCTAATCTTAAACTTTCCGTTTTAAGGTTCTAGAATACTTACAACTTTGTTGTTTAGGAATAATATTTCATCGAAGTCTTTTAGTTTTTGAGGTTCGTAACACTTAACATCTTAGCAAATTTTATTGTTCGACGTGACGAAATTTGGAGAGCATAACGGTTGTTTTGATAATATTTTATAGGTTTCAACCAACGTGAAACCAACAATTACCATAATATTTGAAATTTACGTGATTAAAACAATATAGTATGTCGCAAATAACGACTCTTAAGTTCTGAAGTCGATCATGTTATTTATCGCAATAAGCTCCATAACTTAGTAGAATGAGTTATATTTTTATATTTAATATAAAAATATATTAATAATTTTTACATTCATATTTACATAACTTATATATATATATATATATATATATATATATATATATATATATATATATATATATAAAGTTAGTTTTCAACAATTTAAATTATTAACTATATATTTTCATAGTCTTAATCATTCCATCAAATATGAGAGTGTAATTTTCCTTCTACACGATAATTATGTGTAATAATATTTTTGATTACATAATATCATAATTTATATATTAATAATCATGACAAAACGTAAACATATTATCTTTTAGCAATCTAATTTAACTTGTATAGTTTATTAATGATTTATAGCATTTTAGATTGCTAATTAATAAGTTTTTGACCTATAATAAAGTATGATGTTATTTTGTGTATCAAATATGAAAATCATAAAAAAAAAATTTGTAGACACACATGTATTATCTTCCAAATATTAAAACAGTAAACGAGGGTCCGTAGAAACTCACTTTCGTAGCGTGAACGAGGCTCGTTGTGTGAAACTTATCGTGAAAGTTGTTACGTGATGTTCATTTCTCTTAAAACGAACCACCGAGGATATGTATATTTTCTAATAAAGCAAAGGGTAGTTTTAGTATTAATTATTAAGTATGTAGCGATCTTTGTTAAAATAAATAGACTCTAGGGTTTGATTTTGCCAAAATTATACTTCAGGGACTGATATTGCGAATCACTCTCAAGACAGGGGTTAAACATGTGCTTTTGAATCTGATTTGGAGCACCAGGACTTCTTTTGTTATGGTTTTCTGGTGGAGGGGCAATTCTGTTTAATTTAAATGCAGGTTTGAGTTTCCCTTGACTTTTGACTGGGTCAAAATCGAAACCCGATTTCTGATTGATGTCATGATACAGTCGATCAAAAAGGCGTCGTGTTCAAAGGGACGATGGAGAAGGAACGGGAACGAAAGCACTGGACGAATACAGTGAGAGGGGAAGACACGAAGTCTCGCAGGCACGACTTCGTTGCTCGTCCGCGAGAAGGTTAATCTCCGGGGTTCGACTAGACTGCAGAACGAAGGGAGAAGCAGCGGATGCGCTCTTCTCGGTTGTCTGCTAGGTGCGAAGGAGACGAATCGATTGGCGACGTGTGCGATTGTCTCTGGGGTTTGACAAGGCCGAAGAGACGGAGAAGCAGCGAAGCTGCTGTGGTCTCGGTGGGGGCAACGATGGGGCGATCGGCGGTTGAGGAAGGAGGTCGATTGAAAAGGCAGTGGCAGGTTGGATCGGTGAGTAGTGGTGTGGAGCTACAGCTGATCTCCAGCGAGTCCTCGTGATTTCCATTCTCGTCTTCAGCAGTAGAACACAAAGAAGGAGCAGGGCATTTAGGTGATGATTCTTCAACAGGAAATGAACGGGATCAACAGGTATGGCTTTTTGTTTTATTTTGACAGAAATCAATAGATTTAATCAGTGGTTTTAGGTGGGTGTTTATTTGATGTTTAACAGAATTCAAAGGAGGAACAAGATGGATGTTTGGGTTTGATTTTTCACATGATTCGATAGGGCTGTTGCTGTGTAACAAGGGAAACAGGAAAACAGAAAGGGGTATTTTTGGCTGATGAGGTACAGTGTTGTAATAAAAAGAGTGAAAGATATCCCAATCTGCAATAAACTTTACTTCATCAGGATTCTCAATATATTCCCTTTCGTCCTAATCTGCAGGCTGAAAAGTAAGGAAAAAAAACACTTGAAAATGTAGGTAAGAAGCAAAAATAGATGAAATAACATTTAAACTTTAAAGATCAATAGAAAATTTAAAAAATGACCTATTTGGCCTGAAGATCTTTGATTTTACGACGAAGGATATCCCAATCTTTATACAGGTGCTTCTATTAGTAATACATGGAGCCCAAAGTGCACACACGTTGTTGTTGAAGATAATGCTTCCGTAAATGGTATTCTTATTGATGCTATAATGTCTAAGGTGCTGTTTGATTTTCTAAAGCAAAAATTCATGAAGTCTGCGGACCACCTTTGCAACCCTCTGCAGTAGAAGAGGTGGACAAAACGGCTGCAGACTATAATAAGAAGCGTGTTTGTTTTTTTAACATCTGCATACTGCTGCAGATATTAAAAAATTAAAATAAACTAATTTTATAAACCGAAAATAGCTTTTTAATACGTAAAATTTAATAATGTATAACATTTCGGTAAAAATTAATGATATTTCAGTAAAAAAGAATGATATTTAAAAAAAATAAAGATATTTTCAGTAAAAAATAATGATATTTCATCAAGAAATTATCATTATTGAATATAAAAAAATGAAAAATAAATTCAATAAGAATAAACGAAGAAAAAAGGGAAAAAATGTGAAATAAAATTTTAATAACGTATAATCAAAATTTCAGCAATAAAAAAAGAAGAACAAGAGATTGGAAGAGGTTGGAAGAGGCAGTACAAGTGTTGCGCCAAACAGAGCACACGCAGAGGTTTTTGACTCAGAAGACTTCTAAAAAATAAACAGCTGCGAGATGAAAAGTGTTGCGCGTGTGCTGCGTCGCGCAGCAGTAAGAGGTTTGAAGAGGTTTTTAGAAAAAACAAACAACACCTAAAACTCATTTTGCCAGTTACAAATGGATAACACCGTTTAATTTTTGCTATCAACCCACAATAAAGGACGATTTTACCCTTATTGACATATTTTTATCTTTTTTACTTTTTCCCTGATACTTATATTAGTGTATAATATAGTCCTGCAAAAACTGTGAATCATAGATTACTTCAAACACCGAGGGTTTATAGATCAATCGCAAATTTAAATCGATCAAAGGTTTAAAACTGCAACAATCTGGATTCAAATCAAACACAAAATTAAATCTTGAAGTAGCCAAATTGAGCAACGTCGACGACTGGAACCTTATCAGCCAGCTGAAGCCTTCTCCTTCGCGTCTTGTGGCATTATCGACCAGATCTATTACACATTCACGATAACGTAACAGAAATTGTTTACGAGCTTATGGAAATACCGCATACCAACCATACCAAAGTAACCAGGATACTGCTTGTCGAAGAGGATTCGATGGCGGTGCAATACTTGGCATTACCATGACCTCCAGGATGCTTTCGTTGATTTCTGATACCACCACGTCCAGAGCTCACGTCGTCATGCTTCTTGCGATATTCCGGTGAACGACGACGATAGAAACCATGAATTATAGTCCCTCAAAAATTATTCCTTAAAGACTCCAGGCACCCCATATCCCTTCCATCCCGGCACATATGTCATCACCAGAAAATCATCATCACCCTCTTTCTTCGCCGAAAAACTCGAAAAAGGGATATCCGATCGGTTGTTCTACACCGAGGATCTATTAGAGACAAAGATAGAAGATCGGGGCTCCAAGCAGACAACTATGTTGTCAATTGTGGCTACAAAGGGAGGTCGATGGTGGAACATAAGCCAAAGTGGATTGCGTTGGTGGTCATGCCTCATATGGTCGTCTCTCTGGTTCCCTGTGGCCATTGGACGAAAAGTATGTGGATGAACGCTCTGATAGTGAGCTGCAGACGAAATAGAGAAGAAAAGGAGGGGATTGGTGGTGTCAGCGGATGTAGGAGTCTAGAGAAGAGATGAGAGATTGAAGAGGGTTAGGTCTAAGTTTTCATTAATCTTTTTATTTAGTTTATTTATTTTTCATTTTAAAAAATAAAATACCCCTGGTATGTGGGGCACTTAAACGAAAAAACGAAGATGAAACGGGCAACAAACTAAACTATGAGGGATGGTCCGAGTTAATTTTTAAAAATAGGGATTATATGTGCATTTTAGCACTCGTATGGGGGACGAATCGTGTAATTTACTCTAACATGTTTAATGGCATTAACTCACTTGCAAACTAACGTATTGACACCAAAATTCCCAATTGCAATTCGTAAATAAACGTTTAATTAGTTCACTTTTAAATATTTATATAAATATTATTTATACGATCATAAAAATATATTTATGTTGCAAGGAGTTTCTGTTAAAGTTGCTAAGACTGAATCTAGAGAAAATTGTTTAAATGGATACACTTTTTTGTTGGAATCATTAGAAAATGTAATCTTTTTAGAGTATATTCTCTTTTTTATAATTTATAATATCTTACGTTTATCAACTCTTTCATAGTATAAAGTTTCGGAAAGCTTGCTGCCATCACTCGAAACATTTGGTGCGAAAAATTAGAAAGTACATTTTTAGAAGATGAAAGAGAGAATAATTTTTGACTTTTAGTAGATGAAAAAGGGAAAATATCCATTTTCATAGCGTAGAATATGTTCATAATGAAGTGGAAACTATTGTTCATGATCTAATAGATCCAATAAAAACTAATGAACACATAAATTTAGCCACAAATGATACAAAAGATGATGAAATTACACCTATAAATGGGATTTTAGATGTTATTTTTAGCCAAGATTTGATTTGTTATGATCCAAGAAAAAGTATCAGATTCATGCATCTATAACACATTGGTTGTAGTTTTGTTATAATGATTAAAAGCATGGGCTTTTTAGGTATAAATGTTAAACCTGTTCAACTATTAATAAAGCTGAAGGGTTTAAGACAACACTTGGGTATCGGCTACCACCTTAGCCTTGTCTGGGTGGTACTTGATCTCACATTCATAATCATTTAGCAGTTTAACCCACCTTCGCTGCCTCATGTTAAGCTCTTTTGATTTAGAATGTGCTGGAGGTTCTTGTGATCCATGAAGATGGTGCACTTTGTACCATAGAGGTAGTGCCTCCAAATCTTTAGGGCGAAGACCACGGCTCCCAACTCTAGATCATGGGTGGTGTAATTTACCTTGTGGGTCTTTAATTGTCTAGATGCATATGCAAACACCTTTCGGTGCTGCATCAACACACAACCTAGCCCTTGGTTCGAGGCGTCGCAATACACCACGAAGTCTTCTGTTCCCTCGGGCAAGGACAACACCAGGGCACTACAGAGGGCATGTTTCAGGGTTTGGAAAGCAAATTCTTGTTTGTCTGTCCAGTTGAAGGGTATGCCTTTGTGTTAGAGTGGTTAGGCGCTTGGCTATCATGGAGAAGTTCTAAATAAAACTTAGTAGTAGCCCGCAAGACCCAAGAATTGTCGGATTTCTGTTGGTGTTTTCGGAATCTTCCAGCCTTCAATAGCCTTGATATTGGAAGGATCCTAATGAATTCCCTCCTCAACTCTCATAGTTTCCAAGATCTGACATAGGTGCTGACTCTGCTCCTCCTTATTTCGATAGTATATGAGTATATCATCAATGAAGAAGATTTAAAAATTATTGAGGAATAGGCGGCAGACTCGATTCATGAGGTCTATAAATGCTGCAGGGGCATTTGTCAGACTGAAGGGCATAAAAACGAATTCGTAACGGCCATTAGGGGTGAGCGCGGTGCGGTTCGGTGCAGTTATTAGCCAAAACCTCACCACTAACCGCAATGCGGTTAATCCATTTTGAAAACCACTTGGTGTGGTTATTTTTGCGGTGTGGTTAGGCGGTTATCTTTGCGGTGCGGTTTTGTTTTTTCTGTGTTGCGGTTATTAACCGCATGGATTTGGTGCGGTATTTTGTGTGGTTTTTAACCACAATTTAGAGCTCAAACGGTGTTAAGAGTTCAAACATATTACTTGTAAGAACAAAAAAATGTATAACACAATTAACTTAAATCACAAACAATTAATATCTTAAAACCCTCAAATCAATAGTAATTAACAGTAAGTTTCTTAAAATTGTCTAATTTCACCATTTTGCAAAGTTAAACATAACAAAAAACCAACACTTTTGTCTTCTAGTATTTTATTCCTCTTTCATTCATGAAACTTGTCTTATTTTTAATATTTAATATATTAATAATTAATAAAAAAAGAGTTGTATATAATATATGCCGTGCGGCGGGGTTTTTTTTGCGGTTTTTGAAAACTAATAACCGCACCGCACCGCAAATTTGCGGTTTTTGAAAAACAAGAAACATCACCATTGGTTTTTATTGCGGTTTTTGCGGT